GTCACATCAGTGCTCAGAGAGGTTCATGTGACTGATTTTCAGGTTGTGTTAGGGACATTCCACCTGCACTCACAGCAGTGACAGTGACGATGGTAACAGGACACAGAGTGCCTCCCGTTGGCCCTGCCCGGTCCTGCCAGCTCTTCCTGCAGCGTCTGTTCCGCCCTCACCAAAGCCACATGCTGCTGATGGCCCCATTTTACAGACAAGGAAACTGAGGCCCATAGAGGCCAAGTGTCCTGTCCAGGGTCACAGAGCTCACGGCCCAGCCAGGACCTGACCAGAGCCACATCCGGCCTGAGCTGGTCCTAGCATGCAGCCGGTGGCAGGAGGCCAGGCCTGTGACCTTGCCCAGGTTACCCCTCCCGCTCGCTCCAGGCCACCACTAACTCAGCCCTCCGGGGCCCAAGGTCCCAGAGCTGCGTGGCCCTTCTAGAAACCCCTCGGTTCCTTGCCCCTTCTTTGGTCTGGCTTCACCTCGCCGTCTGTGAGGGGACTGGGGGCAGGGTGCGTGCAGCACGAGGCCCTGGTTTACATTCTAGGTGTTTCTCTCTCGGACTTTTTGGTCCCCACGTGACTAATGGGACTGAGAGCCCCCCGCCGCCTGGAGTCGTATCCCGTGACTTACTGGGTGGCGACTCCTGTTCCACGTCGGGTCTGGGTTCATCATGGCTGGACTGTGTCACTAGTGGCGCTCTGGAGACGGCGGGAGGTCGGGAGTGGCGGGCACCTGGCCCCTCTGCCACGCCCTGCCCCAGCCCTCTGAGGCATCCAGCTGAGCCCATTTTACAGAAGAGAAAACGGAGGCTGCTGGTGTCCACCTGTCCCCCGTCTCGAGGGTCTTGAGGCTTGTCCCTGACAGACCTTGCCCCAGCTCCTCAAGCCCTTCACCGCGCCCTCAGTCCCCAGGTCACCTTGCTGAGAAGCCCTGCCTGCAGGAGTTAGCTGGGACCCCTGGGGAAGTGCAGGCTGGGGCAGCTGGGTGAGTCCTGAGCCTGGGGAGCGTAGAGGGCCGAGTCCTCTCCAGTGGGGAGGGCACTGTGGGACACACACGCTGGGGACGCTGGGGAGACTGGGGACAGGGTGTTTGGAATGCCAGGTGCCCGCTGCCACCCTGAGTCACCAAGCCCTTTGGACAGCCTGGTAAAGCGGGTTTTCAGGTGGGAACACTGAACTGCAGGGCGGGGTCCACCTGCACCGTGGGGGTCCCGACAGCTGTGGGCGTTGGCGCTCCAGGCCCAACTGTCTGGGGCATGGCGTGACCGGGGCCCCCTGGGCACTTGGACCTGATGTTGTGTCCCTCTCCATCACCCACGCAGCCTGGAGGAGCTGAGCCAGGGGTGGTTCCCGTGGACAGATGTGGAAGGGACACTGTGCTCTTTAAACCGTCGGCCCTGGGGCTGGGAGCATGGCTCGGGGCTGGGGGCTTAGCCGTCGGTGGCGCTGCCCCCCGCCCTGTGCACAGGCCCCGGTGCAGTTCCGCACCACAGAAATGAACACCCTGACACACAGAATGTGGCCACACTGGCGCCGGCACCTTCCTGGGGACTGCCGTGGGGGCAGAGAAGGTTCCGGCTGCTGAAGGTGCTGCCACCCAGATGGGCAGACGGAGCCCAGGCTGCCCTGGAAGCCGATCCTGGGGGCAGGAGCGGCCAGGCGCAGGGCACCTTGGGGGGGCTGCAGCACTGCGCGGCTCTGCCCGTCCCGTCTGGCCATCCCTCGGGGCCTCAGACCTGCAGGTTGGCCATTCGCACAGACGAGGCCAAGTGTGCCCACCGCCTTGGAGGGGAGGCTGGCACTCCTAGAGATGGGCCTTTGTCCCTACAGGGGGCTGTGCCTCTGGTCGAGGAATGGAACTTCATGGCCCACAGCCTCATCTGTAAGGTGGGACATCGTGCACCCCCTCCTTTATGGCACCGAGGGTCAGATGACACAGTGTTCATGACGCCCTTGGGTGTGTGTGTTCGGGGGTCACCCTTGGTGACAGAAATTGGCGGTTCACCAGTGATTGCCACTGTCTCCTGGAGAACCAAGGCCCAGAGAGGCCAGAGAATTGCCCTGAGCGGCACAGCCAGGGACAGCAGAGAGAGCCCACCCGGGTCCAGCTCCTCCTGTGCTCATCCCACCCTCGATGCCGTGGTGAAGAGCTGCAGGGACCCCACCGCCTGCCCTCGCCACTGCCCTCTGCCCCCGCAGGGGGGTTGCTGCTGAATCTGCTGCCCTGCTGGTGAGACGCACTGAACCATCGGACAGATGAGGAAACTGAGGCCCAGAGATGGGACGTGGTAGTGCAGGGCTTCTGGGGCACAAGTGGGTGTAGACCGAGCCAGCTGACCCCCACCAGGGCTCTGTCCCCGGCCTGGGCTGCTCCGGCCCACCCTCGATGACGGAGACACGGAGTCTCCCTCCTGGGGGCTGTGTGTGGGATCTGTGGCCAAGGTCACCCTCACTGCAGTCCCTGCTGTCTCTGTCAACACCGAGGCCACTGGCTGGCACCCGGTGAGCTGAAGGGCAGGCAGGCGTGTTCTCTGCCCAGTCGCTGTGGCTGTCTGCGTTTGCTTCTTAAGTAAAACTGAAGTGTCCCAGCTGCGCTCAGGATCTCCATGGGGCACTCCCAGGATGAATCCCTGCCGCTCTTTTGTTTTTGTTTTTTGGTACCTGGGATTTAACTCAGGGACGCTTAACCACTGAGCCCCGTCCCCAGCCCTATTTTGTGTTTTATTTAGAGACAGGGCCTCACTGAGTGGCTTAGGGCCTCAAACTCGAGATCCTCCTGCCTCAGCCTCCTAGGTCCCTACCACTCTTGAGTTTGTGGCCAGAGTTGGGTACAGGCAGCAGGGGGCTGGAGGAGGAGGCAGGACCACAGCTGCTGGCCCAGAGGCCGCAGGAATCAGATCCCAGCAGGGGTTGTTAATTGGGGGCTCCGGAATTTGGGAGAAAAATCGCATTTTTACTACAGGTGACAAATGTCAGTGGTAGGGCCAGCATCAGTTTCCCCAGTCACATCTCGGTTGCGGCGGTGTCTGTCTCACAGCGCCCATGTGAGTGCGAGGGCAGACCCTGGACGTGCCTCCAGGTCTTGTCACTGCTGCTTCAGTGGAGGCGCACGCGGGCGGCTGTCGCCAGGCTCTTGGCCAATTGGCCACACTGGCCCTTCTTCTACCCTTCATAGTTCAGTTGATTCCATTCAACAGTGTCACTCTGGGAAGGGGCCTGCAGGTATCCCAGACAGCCCAGCGCTCCGTGTGGCGCCAAAGGCCAGATAAGCTGCAGACTTGGACACCCCCGCAGCCCGCAGCCAGTGGAGCCTGGAGCTGCCTCCCGCCCCTGGCGCTCGGGCGGGTACTGGGGATTGAACTCAGGGCCCTCACCCACTGAGCCCCATCCCCAGCCCTTTTTTGTATTTTATTTAGAGACAGGGTCTCCCTGAGTTGCCGAGGCTGGCCTTGAACTCAGAAGCCTCAGCCTCCCGAGCTGCTGGGATGACAGGCGCGTGCCATCGTGCCCAGCTGTCTGGGTTTCTTATTGGTCACCTGGTCAGGGAGGTGTCCTCTCTCCGCGGGTTGCTATGGGAGGTTAGTAATATGCTGGGTTCCGTCTGCTGCGGGGCCTGTCTGTCTGTCCGCTGTGTGTCATCTGGTATTCTGGACAGGACCTGGTAGAGGGCATGCTCTGTGTATGTCCCCGCAGCCACCTGCACACCTCCATCTTGCCATCCACCCTAATCTGCATGCTCCCTGCGGGCAGGATCGCGTCCCCATGAACGTCGGTGGCCATGGGAACTGACGTCACCAAGGTCAGGCTGGATGCCAGCCTGGTGACCAGCCAGTTGCTGTGTCCACTCTCATGTTAGAAATGAGGCTCAGAAAGGAGAAGTCGCTGGCTCGGGGCCACATAGCTGGAGAACGGTCAAGCCGAGGACACACCTGCGTCTGTCCGAGCCGCACCCTCCTAGGACATGCCCGCGGCATTTCCCAATCCCCGTCTGGGAGCGTTCCTGGTGGGAGCCTTGAACCCTAGGTTCGGTTCCCAGAGAGGGAGTTCACAGAGGAGGGAAGGGGCGGCGCCTGCAGACCCCCGGGACCCGCTTAGGTCTCCAGATCAGAGCACGTGGCGCTCCCTCCCGTGATGATGGGCGTGTTGTGACAAATGGGTGCCTGACTGACTTGTTGCGCTCAGATCACAGAGCTCCTCTGGCCAACCCTCGCCTGTGGGGCACATCAGTCTGTCCGCGAGGTCTCTGTGCAGTCAGGAGGAGAGAGCCAGTGCTCATCTGTCCTCCCAGCGGCTCCGGAGGCTGAGGATCCTGAGTCCAGAGCCAGCCTCAGCCACAGTGAGGCCCTCAGCAGCTCAGTGAGACCCTGTCTTGAATAAACACAGAACAGGGCTGGGGACGGGGCTCAGTGGGTAAGCACCCTGGGGTTCAACCCCCAGGACAAAAAAAAAAGAGACTGGGGGTGCTGGTGGAGGAACCCTGCACACTGTTTGTAATAAGTAGAGGAGTCCCTCAACATAACCATCGGATGCGCAGTGGATTTCAGTGCCAAGGGACACGTACCGCACCTGACTGTAGGTGCTACACTTCTTTCATCTTGTGGTGGTACTGGGAATTGGACCCGCCATTGAGCTACATCCAAACCTTTTTTAAAAATTTGAGACCATGTCTTGCTAAGTAGTTGGCCTCAAACTTGTGGTCCTCCTGCCGCAGACTCCGGTGTCCCAGGAATTATGGGCGCGCGCCGTGACGTTGCCGTGGCCAGGGCTGGGGAGCGGTGACCTCAGCTCCGCTGTAGGTTTACAGATCGGCGTCACGTCTGTGCCCTGCTGTTGGGTCTCTGAGCCCCACTGTTGACCTAAAGGCCCTTATGTTTGGGGACAGGCACTTTGCCGTCCAGGGCCCCCTGAAGTGCACTGAAGAGTAAGGACCCCCTAAAGGGGAGGAACTGACGGGCCCAGCAGGGCCTGTGCAGAGCACGTGTCAGGCCGACTGTACCAGGGGCGCAGGTGTCACCTGGCATCCGGACAGGACCTGGCACAGGGCGGCTCTGCCCCCGCCAGGCCCACGGCGCTGCTCTGGTCAGCAGAGCAGGACTCGGGCCCAGGCGGGGGGACTCCTCGCGGGTGCTCAGCGCCTCTGACCGCTTCCTGGCGGAGGAGTGGAGACAGGATTCTGTGGCCAGAGGGGGCGAGGACGGAAGTCGTTTCCTGTTCGCCTGGTTCACTGGGCAGAAGCTCCGTGTTCCTCTTCGAAGCCTCACAGGGGCTGCGCCAGGTACAGGGGGGTGCCGGGGTCGGAGTCGGCCCCCACCCGAGCAGCGCCTCCCCCGGGCACAGAGCCTCTGCGCCTGTGTGGGGCGGGTGCAGGGAGCGCGGCAGAGCCTGGGCTGCGGTGCCAGGCAGACGCGGGCTCCAGCTCAGGCCCAGGTACTTAGCAGCTGAGTGACCTCCGACAAAGTGCTTCACCTCTCTGAGCCAAATAAGGCTAAGGGTCATTCCTAACCCCTGCGGTGGTGTTAGCACCAACACGTGCAAAACTTCCCAGCGCACACACGCCTGCCTGCTCCAGGCCTTAGTTAGGCACCTGCGGGCTGGATTTCTGGAATTCTCCACGACTCTCTTACTCACCCCAGACTGGCCGCCTGGGTCCTCCCAGTGGTCCTTCTGAGACGGGCCCAGATCAGCCTGCAGGCTGCGTGCTGCCCGAGCCTGTCCACGGTGTTGGCAGGGAGCTGGCCAGCCACAGCCGAGGACAGGCCCCCGCTTGCCCTCTGGGCGCATGAAGTCGCTTCCCTGGAACTCAGCCACACGTGTGCAGAAAGTCTCCCTCAGGCCTCTCGGGCTCCGCCAGCAGAGTGGAGGGTGGAACAGGTGTCCCCTCCGTCCTCGCCCGTGCGACACTGACGATATGCCCAGGTTAGATGCCAACGTGTGTGGACCTTGCAAGTCCCGAGCAAGCGTTGCTGGGAGGAGGGTGTGCAGGCAGAGCCTCCCAGAACGCCCCAGCCTCCGAGGAGGGACCCTGCATGTGATCTCCCTGCTCCTCACGTCCCCGGGGGAGAGAGGCTGGGTGGCACTGGGGTTGGGGGGAGGCCACCCTCAGGAGCGGGGGCTCTGGAGAGAAAGCAGTGCCGATTTTCTACTTGGCGTCCAGACCAGCCTGCTGTGTGGCCTTGGGCAGGTTGTCTGACCTCTCTGAGCTCCAGGAAGTGGATGGTTAATAGGGTCAGTGCCCATAGGTGTAAGCTAAGGCCTCTTGGGCAGCAGGCCAGCAGCCTGCCCCCCTCTCCTGCCCCCAGAGCAACTCCACATGCTCTTCATGCCCCGCGTCCAGGGCCTCGGGATCACTGTCCCCTTCTCTCACATCCTTGGGATCAGAGGTCACTGGTCCCCGGGAGCTCTGGCCTCCCAGCTCTGCAAAGGCGAGGCATGGGGTGCGGTGTGGAGCCTGGGGGGCCCTGCAGCGTGGGCTGTCACCGTGACAGAGGGGAGTCTGGGAGCTGCTCCAGGGAGGACGCAGGGCCAGGCCGAGCTGGGCACAAGGGCACCCTCAGCTGGCCTCGTGTGCTGGCACTGCCCCCTCCCGCACCCGGCCACTGGTTTCCTGGGAGCCCTGTTAGGGCTGAGCTTGGAGCAGCGAGGCGGGCTCAGAAAGGAACAGTTCCCAGCCATCCTTGGGCCTCTTCCCCGCTGGGAGTGCCCCCTCTGTGGCGTGTCCCTCGGAGCCCCCAGCTGCCCCCGCTGGAGTGTCCGCAGCATGACAGGAGCGGCCCTCGTCACCCTGATGTCTCACCAGCAGGAGCGGAGCCAGGCGCGTAGTAGGTGCTGAGCAGACAATCGTGGGTACCGCGTCTGGGTGTCGCCAGCCTCGAGCCTCCTGCCTCCCCCCTCCCTAGTGCCCTCAGCGGGCAGCCCTGGGTCAGCAGGCAGCCCTGGGTCGGCTGCAGGACCCCGCAGCCCCCACCCAGGAGCCGGTGACACCACAGCACATGGCGTCTCGTGTTTGGAAACTGGCCTCTTGTAGTCACATCCATCGTCCCCCAGAGCCGCGACCTCCTCACTTACCAAACCCAGTGAGAACCTCCCCCTGCAGGCTGCTGCCCAGGCGGCGTGGCTTTCTCCCCTCCCCTGGACCCCAGAGACAGCTCCTCCTGGCCCTGGCCACATTTCCAGTGCCTGAACCCTGTGCGCACCTCCGAGGAGGTATTGTCGTCCTCCTCATGTCACACAGATGGGGAAATAGGCTGAGAGACAGGCTCAGAGATGTCAAGCAATGTACCAGGGACACACAGCAAGAGACCTGGGTTTGGTGGTAAATATACAGTGGTGTTTAATAAATGCTGATGACCTCCTATCAGAAGAGGAGGGTTTGTTGGCCCCCACCCCTGCTTGTCACCTTTCCTGCGTGAGTGCAGTCCAACAGAGCCCTGCTGTGACAGGGACCTCCCAGGGCCAGGGTCCTCTGACTCTCAGTGTCCCGGGGTCCTCTGACTCTGTGTCCCGCGGCAGCTCTTAGGCGTGGAAGCTCTTAGGTGCTCACCTGCAGGGCCTCCTCTCCTCCCTCTTCTCCCGGTGACAAAGCGTCTAGCTGTCCCTTGGCATACAGGGCTGGTTCTGGGACACCCTGCCTCACCGTTGGTGCCCACACCCGCGGGGGCTCAGGTTCTCGGGTTTGCAGTGACCCTGGGCACACCCTCCAGTGGCCTCGGAGCGGCCTCTCCATCCTTCTGACGCCTGTGCCCCGTGAGGGCCTCTCCGCACCCGGGGCGCGTCTTCCTGCAGGGAGGGGCCCTCATGCTCGGCACCGGGCGACGTTTTTCCCAAATATCCCCTCGGAGGTCGGTTGAGTCTGGGACACGGAGCCCCCGAGGCAGAGGGCTGGACGCGCAGAGCACACTCGGCTCCAGGGCCGCTGGGCTGGGCTGGCCGCAGCGTGTCGCCTGCCAACTCCCGCTCCAGATCTGTGCTGTCCCGCACAGTGGCCCCTGGCCACCTGCAGCTTCTGGCCACTCAGAAGCAAGGCTGACCGTCTGTCCCAGGCTGGACTTGGGTCTCAGTTTCCACCGGCTGCTGGTGGGATGCGCCCGCGTCTCTGAGAGTCGCGAGGCCCTGGCCAGCCGTCTCCAGGGGAGGGGGGCCGTGGCCGTGGGAAGCCCAGGCTGGCGGGCGCCGCGGGCTCACTGGCATTTCAAGGGCCGCCGAGGGCAGCTGGGCCGCTGCCATCTGCCTCCGGAAGAGCTTCAAGTGCGTGGCCCCGTGAGCTCCCTTTGTTCCAGGGGCGCAGCCGGCCGTCCTCGTCCAGGGGCGCAGGCCTGAGCCGCTGCAGTTGCTGGGGGGCTGGCCGTGGCCGTGGACCCTCTCTCTGCTGGTGCTAGGTGTGCTGACTGATCTGGGGCTTCAGGAACAGGTGAGGAGTGGGCAGGTCCGAGGGAGGACAGGGAGAGGCCAAGAGCAACGTCCAGCTAGACTCTTTGTCTTCTTTTTCTTTTTGGTGGCGGGGGTGGGGGCACCAGGGATTGAACCCAGGGCACCCGACCCCTGAGCCCCACCCCAGCCCTGTTCTCTTCTGTATTTTATTTAGAGACAGGGTCTCACGGAGGGCCTCGCTGTGGCTGAGGCTGGCTTTGAACTTGCCATCCTCCTGCCTCAGCCTCCCGAGCTGCTGGGGTGACAGGTGTGGGCCACCGTGCCCGGCTTGGGCCAGTGTGTTTCTGTGGTGGCCGACATCACCATCATGGTTGCTGGTGTTTGTAAGTGCTTGCTGTTGTCTCGCCCGAGCTTCCCGAGAACCCCTTTTACAGCATGGAAAACTGAGGCTCTGCGAGGGTGAGCTGCGCAGTGTAGGCGCCGTCCAGCTCCAGGTCACCCGCCCCCAGGACAGAGCTGGGCTCAGCGAGTCTGGAAAGCCACTTCCCCTCGTGGGCCTCAGGGGTCCCGTCTGTTCACTGGGGACAGGTGGGAACTAGACTAAACGCTGTCCCCACCCGAGGATCCAGGACGCAGCCCAGAGGTGCAGGTGCGGGGCCCCTGGGTCTCCTGGGAGCCAGGGCCTGGCTGTGCCCCAGGCCCCTCGTGGAGTGGCCTTGTTCCTGTGAGGTGGCGGAAAGTGGGCCCCGCGTCTCAGCTCAGGGTGGGGAAGCTGGTTGGTGTCATGTTTTGTTTTGTTTTGTTTTTAATCTGTAAAATTGGGAACAATGTCCTTTCTTCTTCTCGGGGTTAAAATGCCGCAAGGTCCTCTTCCAGTAGGCATTTGGTTAGTGTTGGGTGGTAGTAGCAGGACTTTGGCCAACCCCAGGGAACACCATATTGGTCACAGGCTGGTACACAGTGTCTTTGGAGTTGTGCAGTGCACAGCCCTATCCACTGTGCCCAGAAGCCCCGGGTGATAGGGTCTCGCCGTGATCGTTGCTTATTGCCGTACTCACTTTTCCTGGCTCCAAACTCCTAAGAGAACAGAGAGGCCTACCTGGCAGCCACCTGGGGCCCACTGAGGCCACAGTACTCCTGGTCCACACGCCTCTGCTCATGGAGTAAGCCAGTTTATTCTCCATAGGAGCGGGTGACCCTGGCTGCAGCATCTTCCAGAGTCCCTTCCACAAATGTCACTTCCGGGTGCCTCAGAGCCTGAAAGCCCCTCTGCCTCCCCCAGGGGCCGGCCCGCTCCTCGTCGCCCGTCCCTGACGTTGTATCTCCTCTGCCTCCGCAGGGCTGTGCCGGCAGGAAGCCTTGGTGAGCAGGCGCGCGGGCTGGGCCCCAAGGATGACAGCGCCCAGGAGAGGTGAGTGCATCCCCAGGGTGCCCCAGGGAGAGCCCGGCCCAGCGTCCTCTACACCCGGCCTCCAGCCTCAGCCTCCATTATCACCTGGCCAGCCACACTCCCCGGCCAGCTCCCTCTCTGTCCTGCTAGCTGGCCAGAAACCCAGTATGAGAAACAGGGGTCCCCAGCAGCACGGAGAGAGCAGTCCTCTGCCCTCCTGTCTCTGGAAGGTGGCACAGAGGAGGCCGCGTGTCCGCGGGGAGGGGGCACCAGCAGAATCCCAGCCGCCCCACGGCCCCCGCTGCCCGTGCCTTCCAAGTCCCTGTGCAAGACTTCCCTGACCCTTGAGAACAAGTTGTCATTATTCCTTTTTCTTGGGAGGAAGAAACACTCAGACAGAGTTGCCGCTGGGGCGCCAGTGGCTTTTCAAGCCGTCTCCCAGGTCTTTGCTGCCTCTAGTCACCTCCACTCTGCCCTCGTGGACCTGTTTTCTCCCAGAGGACCTTGTCCCATCAAGGCCTGCCACTCTGGCTGTGTGACCTTGGATAACTTGCTTCCCTTCTCTGAGCACTGATGGTGCATGGAAAACCCTGGGCGGAGCGTGCGCTCTAAAAATGTAAAAGCAAAGCTCAGAGCTTTTACCAGATGTAAACTGTGGAAGCCAGATGATCTGTACGAAGCAAAACTGGCCGGTTGAGAAGGTCTTCCTGGCCCTGTGTCTGTCCTCTCCCAGGACTTTTCCTTGCGACTTACTGTCTAAATCTCCAACCCCCAAACAGGCTCATGAGTAAACACACACACACACACACACACACACACACACACACACACACACACAGGGCTTGCACACTTATCCACCCTTTCTAGAAGCACTTTCAGTTTCCAGCTCACCTCCCATCTCCACCTGTCACCCGGCGCAGTCACGGTTCTTGTTCAGCTAAGGGCTGACCGACAGCTCCCCGGGACTCCCGCACCACCTCGCACCAAGCGTCAGAATTTTCATCTCAGCTCTAAGGGGAGAGGCTCACTGAGCCCTGGAAGAGGCTGAGGGCCCCGCCAGGGAATTCTGGGTGGCCTCAGGTCCTGTGCAGCCTGCCTTCCCCTGGCAAGTGGCCCTGGAGGTAGCTGTCCCGGTGGTGGACCTTGAATTGAGGCCACCAGGGAACCCCTGGCGTCAGCAGAATGGAACATGTAACCCCGTTTTTCCGGAGGAGAAGGAGAGCCTGCGATGGGCCTTTGATTTATCGGCCACGTGTGGTCCCCTCCCAGCCGCTGAGGTCTGCCAGTCCTCCTGTTTGTTTTGCAGAAGAAGAGACTGTGGTTCAGAGTGGGGAAGTGACTCTCCCAGAGCCCACAGCTGTTCTGTTCCAGGCCTGGGGCTTCATAGCCTGGGCTCCTGCCCCAGTATTGATTTTCCATTTGCAGCCCGCAGAGAAGGCGCGGGTGGCCTGTGCCCTTGGAGGTCAACTGGCCCAGCTGCAGAGAGGTCCTTGGTGCTTTTGAGTTGAATCTCATACCCAAGAAAGAATGCCCTCCCCACCGCCTCCCCCAGGCCCTCCGTGGTTCCTGGTTCGCTAAGCTGCCCCCGGGCACGCTGTGTGTTTTCCTTAGTGGACTTGAGAAGTGGCTGTCCCCTGCGGGGGAAACCTTCTTTACTCTCCACCTAAATGTTTCCCCTGCACTGGTCAGAGTTCAGGGCGAGGCCAGTCTCCTGCAGAAGGCCTCTGTCACCGCTTGGGGGACCTGTCACTCCGTACAAGGTGCCAGCAGACCCAGGAGTCTGAGGCTGCATTTCTCACCTCCATAGGCCAACTTCTGGTACAAATAGGTGCTCATTAAAAGCTGGAATCACCGAATAGCCAGGGGTCGCAGGAGAAGGCGTGAGTAGGCTCTGGGAAGCTGCTGCTGTGCCACCTTGGATGCCTGCCAGGGGAGGGTCCTGACCGTCCTCAGTGGCCCTCTCCGGCTGACACTTTGAGGCCCATTTTACAGATGAGCTCAGAGCAGTTAAGTCTGTTGCCCCACCTCACACAGCCAGGAAGGGGCCAAGCTGGGATTCCAGCCCAGGCCCCCCGACTCTGAATGTCCTGGGACCCAGGCTTGACCTTGACTGTGGAAAGGGATGGGAGGGGCAGATGGGGAAACCATCACGGAGCCTCCTGACTGGCCCCGGCCTCCACTGTGCCCTGCAGGTCCCCTCTGGCTGCTGCCCGCCCACACCTCCAGCCCTACCCTCCAGCCCGCAGCTCCCCTGAGACTTCCCTCCACCCACCCCCACCGCAGGGCCTTGGCACGCTCTGTTCCTCTGCCTGGAACCCCTGGGCAGAGCATGGTCATCTGGATTGAAGGCCAGGCCTCCTGGGCTGGGTGTGAGCTTGGGCCCTGCTCAGCCGCTCCCCAGACTCACAGCTGGGGCAGCCCCTTGGGTCCTAGTTTCCCCTCCCTGCGATGGGGATTCCATGGCTTGCACCTGGCCAGGTCCAGGCCCTGCCGAGTCCAGAAGGGTTTAGTGAGCAGCTCCTAGATGCACAGCCCTGTGCACAGCTGGGGGATACATAGCCTTGGGCAGAGGTGACAGGAGGCCCTGCGCCCTGGGACCAGAGGTGCTGGGAGTGTGTGGTCATATTCTGGGAGTAAATGTTGCAGTTTTGATAGTAAATTTCATTGTGCGGGGAGTACCAGGGATTGAACCCAGGGGCCCTCGCCCACGGAGCCCCGTCCCCAGCCCTACTTGCATTTTATTTAGAGACAGGGTCTCCCTGAGCTGCTTAAGGCCTCGCTGTGGCTGAGGATGGCCCTGAACTCGATCCTCCTGCCTCAGTCTTCCCAGCCGCTGGGGTAACGAGGTCCTCACTGCCTACCTGCAGATGGAGACGGTGGGAACATCGGGAAGTGGAGAAGGGAGGATTGGAGTCCAGGCAGTCAGGCCTGGACTTTTGGGTCCTTTTGGGTCCTTTTGGGTCTGTGGGCTCCCTCGGGGTGACAGCTCTTCCCGTGAGCGGGGAGAACCCAGCGGGGCTTAGGAGTTCTGTCTTTA